CCCCAAAACCCCAAAACCCCATTCAATTGCCAGATAGGTAGTATTCATTAATTTGAACTTAACTTAATTAAATAATCGTAATTCCCAAGTAGTTGTGATTAAATTAGTACGCTTGTAGTAAATTTAAAATTTCCATGAAAATAAATTCTACTTTTGTATGCCTTGTTTCTCTCTGTAGTATCAAGGAAGCATTTTTCATTATCCTCTCACCAATCCTTCCTGAATAAATGAATTAAAGAGGTGTCTCAATAGCTATTTTTACTCCTCTCTATATGTAAGAATTAACATCTTGGTTGGTACTTATATTTACTCGTAGATCCTATAATATATCATTTTTATTTGCTTCCTTGGCAGCCGGTAAGCTTTCAGGAAATTTTGGAAGAAGATCAATGCTATGATTAGGGTTAATTCTTTAATTTATTGCAGCTTCAATGTTTATATCGATGGTCTTTATTGACTCAACGTATATCTGATTTGAGAATTCATTGTTACTTTAGTACACTTTTTTTAACTTTGGCATTTTTCGCAAGAATAATTTAAGGAATCGGAGCAGGCTTGTCCTAAACAGCTGGTAAATACCTTATAAGTCTTGACCAATTTTATAGCATTCTCAGAATTATAGAGTTAGTATCCCTAAAATGAGAAATAGTTAGTATCGTGGCTCTAGTTCGGAGATAGTAATATTTAGAATTTTAAATTATTTAGCTTTTGGAGGCTTCGTAGGCCTTGTAATATCATCATTTTTGGTATATTTAATAGGATATGTAGGTCCATTTGCATTCTGCGGTAACTTAAAGACTTTTAAATAATTTTAGCAATGATTTTCTTTTTCTTTATTCTTTTCCTAGATAAGCTCATTAAATTTGTTGATACATCAATTGTTTTAAAGTATGCAATATTACCGGGTTTATATTATTCCTAGAATAACTTAAACTGACTCGAAAAATGAATCTTTTTAGAAGTCACAGAGATTTATGCTGCATCCAAATATATCAATCGATTTTCAAACCACTTAAGCAAACGATTTAAATGAAGCCAAAATATACCCTTAAGATGATTTTGAACTCCCTCATCAAGCAATAAACAAACATGATAAGAGTTTTGACACGACACCAAATAATATTTTACTTTTTGACAAAGCAACTTATTCAAATATTATCCTTTCTATTGAGGGATTTTTCGGTTTCCTCACTATAGCTCTAAATCTTCATACTTTCTGCATGAACGACACAATTATTGCTGATCATTTAATGACTACTTACAACTACCAACCATGGTCAATAGCTCTTATTTAGGCGATATAATCAGTTGGATTTCTTCTGACTACTCATATAGCTCCAGTAGTTATAAAGAGATTCAATTTGTTTGCAATAGTAATAGTTTCATAACTGATTTAGTCAGTAGGATCCTTCTTAGTTGGACCTAGTTTATTTTTCAACATTCAAGAGAAAATTTATATTACATGCATTGGGTTGTTTATATCAGGACTCGCATCTCCTTTTAATATGGTTACTAGCTTCTCAATTATGGTTCAAGCTGCTCATAAACATAGGACCAAGAGATTTGATCCTGATTAAGTTAAAAATTTAGTTAGTGCTTTATTTAACTCATCTTATGCAATTGGTGGTATGACTGGCCCTATATTTGGAGGTTTTGTCAGTGAAGCAACATCTTTTAGAACCGCAAGTGATTTTCAAGCTATTGTTCTAATATCTGTTGCCTTATGCCAGTTTTTCATTGTGTACATTCCAAGAAATTTTAGATTTTTCAAGAAAGAAATAAAAGTAGAACCAGTAAATACTAGCTAAACATTTTAGAGAGATGCAACAATCATTCATATAGAATCCTATCTAGAGTGATAACAAATCAAATATAGAAATTAAAATAGTACTTATTAAATTAAGGAAGTATTGCTAAAACTTGAAGACTTGAGATATTAATTATATATAGCAACAATCAGACATATTGATTTTTAAATTTCGATGTTTATTTTACTATTTACAATTATAAATCTAACATGGCGGGGTTTTGGGGTTTTGGGGTTTTGG